AGAATTAATTCTGCCCCTGAAGTAATATCTGTTTCACCTGTGGGATGATGTACCTTGGGATTTCAGAGCCTAAATTCCACCCAAGTTTTGCTTGTAACAGTTGAGTGCCTTTTGTGTCTTGTGTCTAGCAGTTCCACATTTAAGCACATAGTGCAGAAGAAACATTGCTGAAAGAGATGTAACTGCTTAGGGCAAGAAAATTGTGCCTCTCTAACATACTAAAATTAAGTCAATTGTGCAGCTGCTGAGAGCAGAGGGAATGGTTGATGTAATTTATGTAATTTATTTGAAATTAAGAAAGAAAAAAAATAAAATCCTTGTAAAAATATCCCAACCGAAAAGCTATTAAAGCAAACCAGTATTGAGGAAGTGGGGGCTAAAGTAGCTATGCATTAGAAATGAATAGTTAGAGCGGGATTAAATAGTCTTTTTTTTTTTTTTTTTTTTTTTTTTATCATGGCAAAAGGCTAATGTTACAGTGCCCCAACACTCCGTATTCAAACTGGTGCTATCTGAAAAGGAGGATGAACGTGCTATCTGAAAGATGGCACTGTTTGCTGTTAACAGAGAATTATTTCAGTTAATCAGAACTAGGGAAGATTGTGAATGACCTGGGTTAACAAAGTGAATAAATGGGCAGTGCAATGCAGATGAAATGCAATGCTGACAAATACAAAGTTGGGCACAGAGGGGAATAATCTGAAATATTAGTAGGCTTTGCAGGGTTCTAAATTGACCATAACTATTTAGGTCATTATTTGCTATTATCAGCTTAGTGGAAAAAAAAATGTGTTGTGAAGGGCTACTATGAAAACTAAAGATTATGTGAGAAGTAGGGGGAGGGGAGAGCACAGAATGGACAGAATGAAAAATACAATTCCACCCATAAATCAACAATAACAATTCACCCATCATTTTGTTTTTGCCCTCTCTCTAAAGCATACTGACAAAATGTAATTCTATGGCCTGGCAACTAAAGGATTAGAGAAATGGAGGAAGTTGAAAACAAGTTTAGAAAGGAGTCAAGTAATAAGAGATGAAGGGGAAGTATTTAAAACGAGTGGTACAAAGAATACAAGGTAAGAAGTTTCTATTTATCCTGGTAATACAAAAAAAGCAGCAGAGTGGTATATTTAAAGGGAATGGAAATGAATTATTTTCATGAAAACCTCGTTAACCTTTGGGACTCATTCTCTTAAGCAATCATGGAGACTGAAAGTTTAGCAGCATTATGCTATTTTAAAGCAATTCTTATGCTACAAGAGGACTAGACCAGCTATTCCAGATAGCTATTCAATGCTGCTTGTTCAGAGATCCTGCTTCTCCATTGGAAAAGCCCGTACAGATACTAACCTGCTGCTTTCTATTTGTGAATCATGCCTTTTAAAGTGCACAGATGTTTCTGTGTTCTCTAAACTGGTTGGCAGTGCACAGTCTACATTGTGCTGGGACTCCTACTCCAACACACAAAAGGTGTGCACCCAAGGAAAAAATAGTTAAGAATTATATAAACTTTGTTGTGGAAGAAATTTCTTGATAAAACTACCTATTTTGAATGTTATTTCTGCAACTGTGACTTCCTCCATCTGGGATCCTGGAATGATGACTTCAGCAGCTGGTGCATTATACAGAATGGTCCTTTAAAATCTTGCTGCCAAGTTGAGGCTTTTATGATTTTCAGTAGCATTTATAACCACTCAGGCTGCACCATGGTGTGATCCGTTTTACGTGCCAGGAACTTTGATGGGGAGCAGTTGAGATTAATGATGACATAATACAGTAAGAAGAGATATTAATGCTCTTAGGCATGAATTAATGAAATACCATTGAGAATTTATCCTGCATGAATAAAAGGATTTGGAAGTTGTCATTCTAAAACCACATGAAGGATTTTACTTAAAAACCCCCACTCTGTTGAAATAGGCAGGGTCCTAATGACCCTTTACTCCAGATTTTTGTCAGAGCTGGATGATTGAGCTATATCTATCAATTGAATTCCTACTAATTTACAAAGTGTTTAATATAAAAGAGAGGCACAGATCTCTTGCTTCCAGGGCTGTGGCAGTGCTAATTTTTATCTCCAACTCAGTGCAAATCTGGATTCCAACTTGTGGTGTAGTTGTGGAGCAGAGACCCAGAATGCCACTGGCATCCATCAGTCTGGGGTCCTTATCTCATAGTGCAGCCATACAGCAAGATCCTTGCTCACTGAAATGGTAGCAATGCTTTTCATAAATGTGGAGGGTGACTGTCACCACCTATTTAAAAAAAAAATCTGAGGTATGCTTTACTGTGGCCTCTCTGGCATAAGTAGTTTTTGCAGGGCTACAGCTGAGGTGGATCTGAAGAATTACTACTGTGTCCTGTCACTTTTCATTCTCCATCATCCCCTAGAATTACTGAGTTAAAACCCCAGTGAAGATGTCATATATATATAATTGTCTACCTGTAGCTTCGCTTGATTTGAAAAATAATTTTATTCAGGGCTAAAACTTTACACTAGCATATGCTGTTGCATAACCAGGTCTAGAAGACAAGTTTGTTAGTTTTGAGCCAAAGTGGAATAACAACAGTACACAGGGGCTGTTTACTTTTTGTTTTGTTTTGTTCTGTTGGTTCTGAGTAGTTCAGAAAAAAACTTTCCTTAAAAATTAGGACATAAAATATGACACATATTTTATCCATAACTTATGTCAATTTGAAACACCTTTTATTGCCTACATAAGTGAATATATGTAAACTTTATTAGTAATTTCATTTCAAATTTAAAAGAAGCAAAGGTGTATTGTAGAATTCACAGATAAAGGTTAATTTTAACTATAAATGTATTACCAGTGTTGCATTTCTTCATGTTATGGTTCACTTATGTAGAATTGAGATGTATTTTATATTAAACAATGCATAGCACCATTATACAACAGTTCACTAAATGCACATCCCATTTAATCTTTTGTAGGAATTAATATAACTGGACTGAAGTTACACGGAAGAATTGAACTGAGCCAGTAGGGCTAACACTGATACTAACAGGAGATTACTAGCCATAAGAAAATTACAGCTCTTCTGAAAGAGTGCCAAAAATAGCAGCGTATCCTTGGCACCGTCATAAGAACTGGTTAACTGATGACCCTGAAGAAACACTTGTTTCCATTAATTCTGCTGTCATTATTTCGCTATTCTTGAACTCTTCCTCTGAATTCTTCTGTCCTTCTGATCCCAAGACAAGATGGCAGGAACGTGAGAAGAGAACATAAAGAAATTACAATAAGCTGTCGGCTATATAATTATACTGTAACCTACTACACTGAGAAGTTACACCAACAGAAATTTGGCAAGGTATTGGCTGCTAGCTACTAGCTAAACACAGGACACTCACTAGCATAACATTAAAAAACCCAGGCTCACTAAAAAGCAACATCTACATTACAAAGAAGCTAACAAAAGAATTCCCTTATGATACTTAGGTTCATCTGGTTCATCTTAGGTTCATCAGCTACATTTTCTTGGTTTATGAATACTTGTTACATTTGCAATTGAATATATATTTAAGAGCACAATGCTACAAACCTTTTTCCAGCATGTAGTTTTGCCACCTTTAGTTAGACACAAAGGAGCACTTGCTCAAACTAGGGTTGAAGATTCTGCTGAAAGTTGGTGATGTTATTAGGTCATGTGTACTCTAAATTACTTGAGCACCACAATTTTTAAATCCCTAAGACATGATTTCCTTCTACCTGAAGGCAAGTACGCTTTTAAGTTGCCAGACAGACCAAGGGAATAATTTTTACTCCAAAGAGTCTGCTGTATACCCTGAATCAGAACAAATTGTTATTTCATAGAGACTTCAGATTTTTAAAGCATCTCTACTGAACAGAAGTAAACAGTTTCTGATTAAATTTAAACATTCCAGTGACTCTACTGCAAACATAGTAACTTTTAAGTATTGAGGAACATAGTGCAAGAGTTACCAGTAGGGTGGATGGTGAAGATGCCTTTTTCTTCCAGAAGAACTGCTACAGTGTGACAATCTTGTTTACAGGTATATTAAGGTTACCTGAATCCCACAATTCCATCTCAACCTGGATTTTTTTTTTTTTTTTCAGTTTGTTGTCCCAACAGCAGGAACTCTTGCCCAAAATATTCTTCTGAAATCCAAACTTTTTTTCAAAGTGCATCAATTTATCTTTCAAATGGACTTTATATATTCCAATCCACTAGCAGGTAACAGAATTGCTACAGCTTTCAAATCAATTTTTGCTGTTACCATATATAGTCACAGTGGCCACACACGAAACCATGACCTCAGTGACAACAAGGCATCACTTTTTGAGTTATTCAGAAGAACACAATTTTGGAAGTGGTGACAAATGATGCCCTTGGAGTTATCTTTGAGATGCCCTGGTTGAGAGGGACAAAAGAGGCTTGGGAATCAAGACAATAAAGACTTTAGGCTTCCAATTTTGCCAGTAATTTGAAGACATCATCTTGGGCATCAGCTGCCTTCTGCAGTTCCCTAGTCTGATAAAAATAGGGACAGTCATGCTTATTTATCTATCTCAAAATAGGGCTGTGATGGATTAATTATTTAGATAGCACTCAGAGTGCTATTCAAATGCTGCTTATTCATGTTTTCCCCACTGCAACAATATACCTTCATCACTAATAATTAACGACTAATTACTGTTGCCGAGAATATGATAGTGGTGTTTACCACCTTAATTTCAGTACAGATGCCTACTTAAAAGTTATGTAAATATATTAAATTACAGTACATTTTCCTAATGACCTTGCTATGTCTGAGTTTGATCCTATTCAACTGTGACTAGAGTAATGAATAGTAAAGACGACCTCTCTTCTGTAGAGCTATACAGACAGTTTCTATTGTGTTCTCAACACTTAGATCATGAAATATGAAGAAGCCATTCTAAGCAGGATACAGCTGGGTCGAAGGACTGCTGATGCCAATTATGCTTCGTACATAATAATGCACATTTTACCTATTTGGAAAAAAATTCACATTTATTTACTGTCAAACAGGTGTTAAACTTTACACTGGATATTAGTGATGGGCTCATTTTTTAACAGGTTTACACAAAGGGATGAAAAAAGCAGAATTTTGCTGAAACCATTTACATTTCATTAATTTTTATCATAAAATAAATTAATTACTAAATATAGGCAGAAGGAATATGGAAGAGTAATAGTTATGTTTTATTTATTTTTTTTTAAAGGACAGGCACCTTTTATTCACGAGAAAGCTTGTGAGAAGTGTCCAGTGTCCCCTTTACCCCCTACCGCCCAACCCTGATTAAAGAATGAACAGGGAATTGAGTTACAATCTTTGTTAGCTATACCAAATTTGTGCAAGGCTTGGCATAATTGGCTTCTAAAACAATTTCCTCCCCAAATTATAGTTTTTTTGGCAATAAAAATTCCAAACGTAAGAATAAAAACTAACTTGTCAAAGCAGAACACTGTTTACAGTAAAAAATAAGTGAAAACGGGTAGAACTTGCATTTTAAGCATACTTCCGTACTATGAACAGAGTGTAAGAAAAACAGCTTATAACATATGTGCAACCAAGAGCTTTTCACAATATTTTCTTCAAACTCTTTAAAATTATTTTTTAATGACAATTATATTTCAGTTGGACACAAATGTATTTATTTTACCCTAGCAATAGAACAAAATATAATTTCTTTAGCCATTTTTTCATGAGAACGGTTCATTGTACAGTTGAGGAAATATATGAAATAAGGCCTGTGGCTTGATTGCTAGTGGTTAGACATGTATTCAATCTTTGCCCTAATGGAAAAGATTTGCAGTGAACTGCAAACAGATGCAGAATATCTCTCCTGCTTTTGCAAGTCTTGTCAGGAATAGTAAGGTACAGTAAATTTGTCCCACAGGATTTTAGAGCCTACGCCTTGTATATAATACAATGTAGGCCTAGAAAAAAAATGGTGCAGCCATATTTACAAATTTAGTTCACAAACTGCTGCAGTAAAATGGCTGGAAAGTGTTTATTTATCTTTTTTTTTTTTTTTTTTCACAATTTTGTTAAATTCAGCAGCAGAAGATATCTTAAAATACCTTGTTGGTATTTCTTTTCTTTGTAACAAATAATTCATTTTAGTATACTCTGTGTATATACAAAGTTTTTGTTTTATAAAAATTCACAGAACTGCGAGGTCCAGTCATCCCCGTTACTGGAGAACCACAGGGTCAACAGAATTGTCTCTTCAAGCAGATACGAGGAAGCCTGCATGGGGCCAATTAAGTCTTTCTAATACTTGTACGTGGCCTTTAATATTTCTTTGCTACACTATTAAAGGCTTGTCACTAGTTGCATTTGTCCTTCTCTAACATCCCCTTCTGGAATACATCCTTCCTTGTTAATGGGAATTATATAGCCGTCGCTATTACCCCTGCTCATTTGATAGTACAACTGAAGCTGATGGCCAGCTCCTAGGTTTGGCATGCTCTTGTAGTAAATGTCCTCATTTTCACTCCTTCTGGAGGGAGAGAGATCTTCTTCAACGTCGGGGCTGCTCTCTGGATACGGAGAGTCTCTGAGATTGGGCATGCTCGTGTAAAGAGAGTCTCTGTTGGGGGACTGGAGGTGGTCGTCAGCCTCAGCCGTCAGCTGTGAGACGTAGCTGTCGGTTCCCTCGGTCTTCACTTTCTTCTGGGGCTGGTACAGAAGAGAGTGAGTCCGCTGAGGAATGAGTGGGGCCTCAAGCTCTTTGTGGTGGAGCTCCAGACCAGGGGTGTCACTGTGCATCAAAGATGAGGCATCTGCCACGATGGCATCATCTTCGCTACTGCTCCCACCGATCACAGCTTTGGTTGGTAGCGTGCGCTCCAGATTGTGGTTCTTGCTGCTGCCCCGCAGGTTGTTGTGCACTAATTCTGAAATGATCATTTTCTCAAAAGCAGTATCATTCAGGCTTAGTCCACAGTCTACAACTTGCACGCTGTCGTTATAGTCTCCATTGCGCAATGAGTAGCTGTTGTTGAAATTACCATTTAGCGGTAGAGTATCCATGGCACTTGTATCCCTGGCATTGTTCAGTGAATGTCCTGAAATGAAAAAGGACCGCTCTGGTTACTGTCTGATGTGCTTTTTATCACTCAATTATTATTTTTTTTTAACAAAATTCTTTAATGTAGTTCAGGACAAAGTTGTACTTGGAAGTAAGACTTGAGAAAAGTTAGGTTACTGAACATTCCCAAATGTAAACAGTTGCACACCTTATAGGAAAGATGCATTTTAAAAATACTAACGTGTACTTCCTGTGGGGAATAGTGGCATTTTAATTTCTTAATTTAGTGTCAATTCTATGACTCTTCCACAAGGAACTATTCACTCCATGCCCTTGCATATGTAATGCAAAGCAATTCATTTGGAAACATCTATGTTTTGAAATACACCACGATTTAGAAAAAGAAAATTAACAGAATTTGTCCTAAACAACACTAAATTAAAAAGGAATTAGATCACAGACATAACTGAAGGCAAATGTACAACATAAACCCACATAACTGGCAAGCAACTACTTTAACAACATTTCTAACATTTTTTTCCTTTTTTTTTTTTTTTTTTGAGATGAAGTAAAGAAAAGAATGAAAAAAATGGGTAAATACAAAGAATTTATGTTAAACAAGGACAGCCATCTTTCACACTACAGGGATCAGGGCCCACAAGCACCATCCAACAACACGATAGACAGCAGGTGGAATGACTCACTTTGGACAACTCACATCATGTCTGTCTGCTCAGGCTATCTGGCCTAAGAGTAGCTGATATATAAAAGAAAGTAAAATGATTTATTGTAACATGATGAAGAATTACTAAGCTTCTCAGCAACTTAGAGCAAGGGTTCAGCAAATTAGATTACTAAGCAATAACAGCTTTTCTTTTCCCACTTAATGTAATTTTTTGCACTAATATTCTGTCTGCCAACAATGGCCCCAGGCTTCTAAAGGTCAAAGTTTGCCTGCAGTCTGCATCAGTCACAGTGACAGCGCTGAATGAACCAGAATAGTTAATTAAGAGTTAGGCCCACGGTTACCATGGGCATGGAAGTCAAATGCAGAAATGTTAGGAATTTCTGTAAGTATGGGTCACAGAAATTAAACCAAAGAATAAATATTAGTTGTGGAATGGGAAGAGGAAATCAGCCACGGCTGATATCTCATAGCTGCTAGAGGAATGACAGATTGGGTAAGTCTGCTGGAAACATGAAAAGAAGTTTAAGGGGGGGGAAAATGAAGTCAAAGTCTTATGATGATTAAGGTCTTTATGCTTTTGGTTTTGGCTTTTTTTTTTTTTTTTTGGTAACACGATAAGGAAAAGGTTTTCCTATAGACACAAAGACATGTAAACTATGACAGCACAGTGCTTCCCAAGCAAAGAGGAAAAAAAAAAAAAACAACAACAAAAAAAGCATTGAAAGAAATTAAACAGTCTGAACCATGGAAAGTCAGATGGTTAGAGCATTCCTAGAAAATCACTTTATCTACAGGTATGTCTGGAAGTAAAGAAAGAATGGAGTGACTTTACTGAAATGAGACTGACCACTGTGAGGCTGCTGCATTATATGCAAGGCTTGGAGGAGTAAAAGAAAAAAGTTGTTTTGGAAAAGATTATACATTTTCCTGTTTGGTTTTGTTTTGGTTATTTTTTCTCCATTATTAAAGCTGCAGCTTATCCTAGAAAAGTCAATCTTCTCTGGAAATATTGTTTTCAATTAAAAAGTAATTGCATTTTCTCATAAAAAAATTTTGTCTTCAACTTTAAAAAACAGAGTAATAATTTACAAATAAATTCCAAGTAATTTGCAAATAATTTTTTATTTGTGTTATTGTTAACTCCTCTTCATGTGTACTGATTTAAACAGTGATGAGGGTTGTTTGAAAGGTCTCTTTAAGCTTTGATTAAACTGCTTTGTAGTTTTGCAATTTCATGTATGTTCCAAGATTTTTCTTACAATGGATTTAGCTGCGCAGAACATATGGCATTTATAAAAGCAGACAACACATGGACCACATGCTGGCATTCATTTCCCTCATGAAAGTGATTTAATTCTATAATTTTAATTCTCTTTTCTTCTGCTAAACAGATACCAAAATATATGTGATAATATAAAATGAGTTTTCTATGATATACTGCAGAGTTAAGCATGCTAGAATATATTCAAATTGGTTTGATGGGGTAAATTTTGTTGCCCATGATCAGGTAATTAATTTAAAATCTTTCCATAGCCTGTAGCAAGATTACTGTGGGAATGTAAAAATATAAGTAAATTGTTACGCAGTTCTACTTGACACTGCTTTGGTTTTAAACAGCAAATTATTTCAGCATTGCATAACTTCTGTTACCAACAGGGTTTGCCACAGACCTCATGTTGTTTCCCAAAAAGCAGTATGCAAGTACTTTTTGAACGTGGAAACATTTCATTTGCAAATTGTGAACCACTTGCCCGCTGAGTCTACTTCATGACCGCTAGTTATGTTTTAATTGTGCCCATTAAAAATCATGCTGAAAAAATTTACATTTGATAGGCAAAGTTAAGTTTTACTCCCATACTTGTCTCTCTGTAGGTTGCTAGAGGAAAGCATAAGGAAAGTAAGAAAACAAGAGAATGAAAATAGAAACTACAGTTCAGTTAAAAAGGAAACTTGAAATAAAAACTGGAAACAAGGTTTTATGAGCTCTTTATAGAAGATTTATCGTTCCAGTTATGCTAAAGTGATCTTATGACTCATCAAACAGTAACTACTAGATATTTACTGACGAATTGTACCGTAGTTAAAAAAAAACCAACTAGATAATGTAACGACAAAATGTTAGGTAAGTGATGACACCCTTTTTTGCTGCAGAACTAA